AGAAGGGACAGGTGGTGAGAAACATATTGCTTTGTCCCAGGACAATAAGAAAAGTTCTCTGAGGCCAAAACCACATCCACCACAGCTTTCACGTTTGAAGGAAGAGAACGTGAGGGTGAACCTTACTTAGACTTAGAGGTAGAGCCCCTTACCTACGTGTGGCAATGTCACAAGTCACCTAGAAAGTTCCCTGCACGACAGAGCGCCACCTTCCATGTCCCTCATGAAACCATCAATTGATTTTTATCTGTCAGTCATTTTCTTCAAGAATATGTATATACTAATTCATTGCTTTAAACATTCCATATATCTAATTATATTTATTTCTAATTGAACTATACTGTATATCATAAATATATAAAATTCTATAATATGGTTCGATAATTGAAAGTGTTTAACCTTTTCATGATAATGGCCATTCTGACTGAGGCAAGACAGAATGGGCCTCAACACCATTTTAATATGAATCCTCTTGATGGCTGACAATGCTGAATATTTTTTCCACTTGTTCTTTTGCTGCTTGTGAACTGCCTGTTCATTTTATTGATTACTTTGGATATTTGACTTTAGAGCATTTAGGGCTTTTAGTTCTTTATGTAGTCTAGGTATTAAACTTGTGTCAGACAAGTAACTGGCAAAGACTTCCTCCTGTTCTCTCTGTTGTCTCCTTACATTATGTCCTTTTTTGTGAAGATGCCTTTTAATTTCACAAAATAATGCATCGAATTTTTATTTTATTTTCTGAGCTGCTAGAGGCCCGTTTAGAAAGTCTTTCCCTGTATCTATATCTTGACACACCTTTCTTATGCTCTTCTTTAACAGAATCAGAGTTCCAGGTTTTACATAAAGTCTTTTTTTGACACATTTTCTATTGATTTTTGTACAGCATGTGAGGTGGGAATCGAGTTCCATTTTCCTACATGTAGATACCTAATTTTCCTGGAACTACTTGTTGAAAAATAGACATTTTTAGCATATCTGTAAACAAACAATGTCTTTATGTGTGAAAGACACTAAACACTTTGTCAGAAAACCCTTAAAATCAATAAACACAGCAAAGCAGCAGGATCCAAAAATCAACAAAAAAATCTGTACCTTTCCTATATGTGTTGATAAAGGAATCAGAAAAAATAATTTCACTTATAATAATGCTTTATGGTATATGCATCAGAAATGGTACAATCGTACCAGACAGGGTTTCACAATTTTGGATTCAGCAACTACACTGAAGTGAATTTGAATCTCCCTGGATGAAAGCATGGGCATTCTTTTAATTTCCCACACTATTGTGATGACCGGGAAGGTCTGGAGTTAGCAATATTGGGCATATTTCTGCTCAGGGTACTGAGCAACTTAACGTTTAATTTTTTGCTTTGGTTCTTGATTCAGGTGTCACTGCAGCCTAGACCAGCTTTGAATTTGCTGTCTTCTTGCCTCTCTTTTGGGAACAGAGATTATAGCCATGTTCCACCACATCTGTAGTTCTAAACTGCCTCAAGTTCTTTATTTGTTGTTTCTTAGATATTCAGGAGGAAGCCTGAGTTTCAGACTTTGACCCCCTGCCCTGCAAAAGAACAACCCACTGACCAAATTCTTTACATTTTCTGACACATTCGTAGCGTTCCAGAAACTTTCACTCAGACACTACAAAATAAATACTTTGATAGAAAATGTAAACCCCAGTGTTGCAGAATAGGACAACTGTAGGACTCATTCTCACAGAAGCGGCCTTTCTGATAGGGCTTCCTGACTGTAACATGAGGGTCAGGGCCCTGAGCCCACCCCTGTGGTCCCCATTTCTTTGCTTAGAACTAAGAACTACTGGTTCCTTGTGTGCATTTTAAGCCATTTTTTTGTCAAACTTTTAAAGAGACGAATTGAATCTTTCCAGGCATGATTTTTCTTAATATCCATGATAGGATTCTGAGTAATGAATGACAATACTTTCAGACCACAGAGGAAGCATGTGACACTATTGTGGGGCTCCTCTGGCCTCCTGCCTCCATGCAGACAAGCAGCCTCCCATCCGAGCATCTTCTCAAGCCCACATTATGTTCTGTGTGCTCACACTCAGTGAACTGATGCCTCCCTAAAAAAGTAGGTGACATACCTAAAGCCTGAGACTACAGACCATGAGCCTAGTGCTCCAAACCCCAGAGGAGCAGGGCCATCCTCCCACACCTGCGTCTGATGGGGACACCTCAGGGAGTCTTCATAAAAAAACATATTGCAAGCCAGTGGGCAGCTGCAGGGGTCACATCCAGAGCTTCCACTGCACCTCAGTGACTGTGTGCATCCCAGCAGCTCCAACTGAGCCTTGGCTGACTCCTGAGGAAGGCATATACCAGATCTGCTTCGAACTGCCAGAATGTTAGCTCGGAATACCCTTCAAATGTCTCCCATTGATCATTGACAGTCTTTAAAAAGGGAGAGCAGGAAGCTATTCCTGGAGGTCTAATTGCTCTCTGTGACACTTTACAAGGGGCATCTTATGGCTTTCCCTCTCAAGCCTGTCTCTCTGTGCCCAGATCCAGAATGAATGCCTTTCCTAGACATACACTGACTCCAGGGAGTGTGGGCTCGGCTGCAGGGAGGACTGCCGGACTCCTTCCCCGGGCAAGGCCAGTGCGCACTCTGTACATCTTGCCAAGTTCTTTCTCCTTTGGTTTGAAAACCCTTGTGTATTCCAAAAGAAATGCAGCCCATGTGTTTCTGATTCATTTACACTTAAATCATTAAAATGTTGTTTTGTGAGAGTTATTTGATGTCTGAAGAGCCTGACAGTCTGCTTAATGGAGATTTTACAGGGTTTTCTTTCTTGTCCTGCCTGAAACAGAGAACGTTTCTCTCAGGAAATGCCTCAGTTCAAACCTCCCTCCTCATCACACACACTTACACTACACTATCAGCCAATGCCTCGTCACCATGCCAATCACACAGGCTGGCACAAGAGCTAAAATGGAGAACTTGGAAGAAATGGAGAACAGGAATTACAGTAAATGTCAAGCCTTTGCTCCCCAAAAATATGGCAAGGAGAGCTATCTCAGAGTGGTGAAACTGTTTAACACCTTGGTTCAGGTGGCAGGGAGCCTTCTGCATGACTGAAGAGCAGCTGACACTCAACTCTTCACTTGTGCCTTGTCACGGCTTCCATTCAGCAAACCAGGAGCCAGGATCAGAAGCAGTGCTGCACACAGCTAGGTTGATCAGAAAACAGACCACAGCTAAAGTCTGGGTTGGTGCCTAAAGCTCTTGAAATGGTTCAGAACTGAGTTTCTCTGTTAGTGGATGTGTGTGGTTTGCAAACACCACATGTGCTATGATACGTTACTGAGACGTGGTGTCAACGGAACCCACGAAAGATGGGTTTCTTCCTCCCTTCCTAGGTGTATAATCATCTCCTCTGGGTAGTTTATTGGAAAGTGGAGTTATAATGCTATCACTGACTGGAACCAGGTGCTGGAGACAACGAGCTGGGAGAGGGTTAGTGCACAGTGCCCGTTCTAACAGCTGGCTTGAGGTTGCAATGGACTCAGAAGTGATGGTGGGATTCTGGATGCCTTGGCCAGTCATAGAATCTTGTTAAGTCATCACCTCCCCACCTGTTAAAGATACATCACAGAGAACCATCAGAAATTTGTGAAAGTAATTTAGATAGTGTTTGTGCCTGGCACTGAAATGATGTTCAGTGAGCCTGCCCACCCCCTCACACTCTCTGCAGTGCTGGCTGCCATTTTTGTGTGTTGGGGTTGTTACTGTGGAGGGGGCCATGTCCCACCAGAGAAATCAGAGTGCAGAGGTTATCCAGTGGTGGCAGTCACCGTAGTGGCAGTCACAGTAAGGGTTAAGTGTGGAGAGGGTTACATGTGCTGCTGTCTTTATGAAGAGGGCTCACTTATTACTCAACTCAGCAAAGATCCACTGTACCGTTTGTTTCTCCATGGGGCCTGGGCACTGACATCCCACAGGCATAGGTCTTTCTAGACACATGGGTCACCTGGCTGTCTCTCTGACTTTGCTGAAGCCTTTTTCCCAACTGGGTAAATTCGATCTCTGCATGCTTACAGTTCAACAGCGTGGCAGTGGGAAGAGTAAGTAGCCAACTGCAGAAACTGGTGCTCCCTCACCATCAGGGCCAGCCACGAGGTTTTCAGAAAAAAACCTGCAGATGTCCACAGACAGGCTGAGACTTGGGATCTGCATTCACTTTTATAATCTCTTAGAATTGCCTTTTTAGTTGGCTGTTTCTGGTTAATTGTTCTTTTGCTGGGGTCCTGAAGTAGAACAATTATAGCCATCAGGCAAGGGAGGCTGAAGAGAAATTACTCTGTGTGTGTGTGTGTGTGTGTGTGTGTGTGTGTGTGTGTCTTTCTCTCTGTGTGTCTGTCAGTCTCTGTCTATGTCTCTGTCTCTCTCTATGTCTCTGTGTCTCACTCTGTCTCTGTCTGTCTCTGTCTGTCTCTGTCTGTCTCTCTGTCTCTCTGTCTCTCTGTCTCTCTCTCTCTCTCTCTCTCTCTCACACACACACACACACACACACACACACGCACGCACGCACGCACCTCTAAGTCTCTCAGATTTTTTTCTCAAGAGCTGCAGTCCCTCCCAAGGAGGGGACTGGCTAGCAGATCTTCCAAGGAAACAGTCTGTCAGGTCCCTCTGAGTGTACATAAGCTCAGTCAGAGAGAGGAGAGAGGGAACGCCAGAGGGAGAGGGGGAGAGGGGATCTGTTGCAGGCAGGGGAAGGCGTGACCTGAATGGAGAATGCCAGCCAATTCCAGAGACACACAGGGACCTCAGAACAAAGATAAGGCATCGCTGACACCACACCGGGGACTGAGACGAGCTCACAGACAAGTCGGGCAGAGGGACCAAAGCCAGGAACACACAAGGCAGGAAAAATGAGGTGAGTGCCCGGTCATGGGAAGACACCGGTTCCCACTCCAAGACCAAGAGTAGAGCAGCCTGCTGGGTCTGACCTTGTCTCTAGGCAGACTCACCTGCTTATCCTCTGGGTGGCTGGGGTTGGGGGGATTCTCATCAATCCTCGGGCCCTGCAAAGGGAGTCCTGTCCCTGGGGCACCTTCCCAGGGACTCCGGAGACTCACAACTTGAAACCAGATAGTTTGTGCGAAGCCTGCTCCTGGCGCGGCTGAGGCTCAGATTTCTCTCTCTGCCAGCACAGGGTGCTGCCTACTGGCCAGTGTGCTCCTCCTCCTCCTCCTCCTGCCCACAAGACTGATTCTTCCTTTTGCTACTCTGCAAAGAGCAGTGATTTCTTTCTCCCACCACTTTGAGAGTTAGATAATATGTTTGTGTGTTTATATTTTTTTTCTGACCGGAAAAGAAAACAGTTCCCCACAGCCCCGCTTGTGGTTTCTTGAGCCTTCAGAAGTTTGCCAGTTAAACCTCAATTTAGAAAACTAGAAACCTGTCCCCGTTTTACAGTTCCCTATAAATTCTGCATTTCTCACTGAAATCAGAGGCAGCTGGTGACATGAATCGGGCTATGAAATGCACCAAATGGCTCTTAAAGAGACACCACAGTTTTTTAAAGGAGCATTTGGGGTTTGTAAACCTATCACTTTAAATTCTAATGGGCTTGAAGCTCTTCAACCTTTCCTGTTCCCTGTGTTACTTGATGCTCCTCACCAGGCATTTCTTATAAGCTTTTCCAGAGTCTTAAACCCCAACTATCCTAATTATTTTTATCGATTGTAAGTGTCAAGGCTGCTAGAACCACTCAAAAGGAGCAAGAAAAAAACACTCTGTAGGTGTGTTAAGTCCCTACACACCTATTTCCCATGCATTTTCCTTTAAATCGGGAAAGTTTTTGTTTCTATTCTTTAGTCACCTGGTAACTTTGCTCAGTCCGGAGACAATAAGGGGCTTCAATCTGTATAACTCTGAATTCCATTTACCTATGGCTGAGAGGAAAAGCTGAGTCTCTAAAAGGTAATTCCATCATTCTGATCTTTGTAAAGTTGTCATTTTGTTTTGTTTTTAAACCTGCCAGGAAATTTCATTTTTTCCTTCCTTCTGAAACAATGGCTTTTCTTCCTTTGTCTGTGGAAATGGTGATCTCCCTTGCCTATGCCACAGCCATTTCAAAGCACACCCTGAGTACACTTAACCCTCAGCTTAGAACAGCCCTCCCAGGTACTTCCCACCTAGAACTGACTGGGCAGACTCAACACTGTGTCCTCGTTTCTGATCTCCATCCCCCAGACATGCTATCTCTTCCTTTGTTCTCCTCTGTGGCCGTATTTCTTATCATCTTTGACATAGCTACTTATTTAAACGCCCACTTCCCCTTCCAAGTGGTGTAATCAACGTCTTCATCCTTGTAGAAGGTCTTCACGATCATGTGACCAGCACCTAGCATAATGTCCCTTTCCTAAAAAAACATTCAGTAACTATGACTGAGTTGAATTCAATTACTGAATATCAAAAAGGAGTTCTAGGAAAGTGTTCCACTGGCTGGCTGTGTCTAAGGAGGCTGGACTCCCAGGCACACAGCACTTCAGAATTTGCAAGACACTTTCATGAGTATTGCTTCAGCTTTTTCGTGACATAAGGATTAAAGGGTACATGAGATAGAAGCAGTTAAGAAACTTGCCCAAGTCCACACTGATGATCTAGAAAAGGCCCAGACTCAGTCTTGTGTCTTTGGGCTCCAGTCATTTTCCTCATATATTCTAGGAGGCTCTCAATCCCAGCTGCAGATGGCAATAGTCTATGGTACTCGAGGAATGCCAGTCCCCAGGTGACAGAACAGTTTCTTGTACAGGGGAGGGGGTCAAACATTAGTATTTTAAAATTTTCCACATAAAGCTATGGGGTTTTTAAATTATTTTTCACAGGATTAATTGCTTTGGCCAGATGCCTGGGCATGATACGGGCACAAACCCAACTTCTTCTCTGAGCTTTTGTTATTCTTTTCTTCTGTTGGAGTTAATTCACCATATGGTATTTGGCATGATGTACCATCTTGTAGGATATACTTTTCAACGTCTGTCAAGTGAGGCTGGTGGGTAAGGGAGCTCTGTGGTCTCTTCCAACTCTGCATCTTAAAAATGGAGTGTTGGTGGCATGAACACTGAAATGAGGGAAGCCAATGGAGAAGCTAGGGAGTGCCACTCACTCCACAGTCCGACTCATATGGCTTCTTTATGTGTCCTGATAGCCTGCTCTTACAACGGAGACTGAAATCTCAGCTCACTATATCACTTTTGACATTTCAAACAAATGTAGCTCAACTTTTTTTGATCAGCTAGAGGAGAGATAACAGGTGTCAGGACTTGTACAGCTGGTGCCTGGCGCAGAAGAAGCCAAAACAGGATTGCAATGAGAAGCAAATGCTGCCGTGTATATCCTTTGATTCACAGCCCCTAAGGCAAGCAAGCAAGCATATGTCTCAGCTTCTCACATGAATGGAGATATCTGTTTCATGCATCTAAGTCTGTCTTGAGATGCAAAGAACAGAACACTCCACAGGCTTCTCGTGTGCGCACATTCACCGGCTGCCTGCCACACGCAGCCCTGGGGCCTGGGCTGAGGGCTCAGTCAGCTATCAGCCTCAGCAGAACTGGCCTGAGGAGGCTTTCTCCTCTCTGTGTTCTGGAAAAGGCACATGGGGAGAAAGTCGACCTTTCATCCTTGTGTAATCCAGTTGTCACTATTGCAGGGAAGCTGGGCTTGCGAGCCAAAGCTCACGCCTTTGACGATGTGACATGGTAGAGTCATCAGAACAAGCCTTTGCTAGGGCTGGATACTTAGAGCTCATTCTTATGCTCCTGGGCAGCACAATCCTGTGGGAAGTCATTATTCTTACCATGGACGAGCTGAGGAAACAAATGCAGAGTTCCCTTAACTTTCCCAAAGTGGACAGGAGAATAAGGTCTAGGAGTTGAATCTATCCTTCCATGCTGATCACTTTCAGCCCAGGTAACAAAAATATATTTCCTCATTCAGAAATGGGGTACCTGGACCCGGAAAGTAACCTCCTGAACTCCCTTTTTCTACAAATTCACTAGGTAACTTGGACCTGTGCCTTCTCCTTCCTCTACCTCCAAAGGCCTTCCTTTACAGATTGCTTTAGAACAATATTGACCTTGGCCCTTGGAGTAAAACATGTCGTTTTCCTACCAGACTCTCACATGTTGCAATTGCAGGGGCCTTCGGGAAATTTTTTAAATGATGTTATTTTCTTTGTGTGTAAAAGCAATACATGATCAATGTATTTTCTTTTTAAATTTTTATTGATGGGTATGCCCTCTGCCTGCGTATCTACTTGTCTGTATATGTCCAGTGCATGCAGGTACTCATGGAGGCCAAAGAAGAGCATACACTCTGCACCCCTGACCGTGAGTTACAAATGCTTTCGAGCCATCTGGTGTAGATTCTGAGACTGAGCCCAGGTCCTCTGCAAGAGCAGCAAGTGCTCTGCTCCACTGAGCCAGCTCTGCAGTCCCTCAATGTAAAATTTCACTCACACAAAAATGAGAACACTTGTACTTTCACTTTACAGAGAGCCATGCTAATCCTTCTAGACCTTTCTACATGTATCTTTTTACCTTTTATGTATCTATCACATAAAACAGCTAGATAATCTGGATATGTGCTCATTCACTGTTTGCACACTGAAAAATTCATAAGTAGACACACATGCGCCTACATCTGAGTACAGGGGAAGGAGGTCTTAGCACAGAATTGACTTCCTGATTAACAAAGACATAACTTAGTAATCCAAATTCTTGGCAGAGATTCCTAGCTTTGATTTTCTAGGTTATCTAAGACTGTCTCTCCTCGGCCCTTTTTGTTCATCGGCAACTGTTACACGCCAACTCCTAAGCACTTCACATGCATCAGCTTTAATGATGCGGGGAGCCTACAGATAAGGACTTGCAGCCCCATCTATGGATGAAGGGACTAGAGCACAGGGAAGCAAGTTACAATGGAGGAATCCCAGGTTCTTACAATGGAGGAATACTAGGTTCTTGCAATGGAGGAAGTGGGATTTGTACCCAGGAGCACGCAACCTCAGAGGCTGTGTTTGAAGCAAAGCAGTGTGCTAGCTGCTCCAACAGAGGCTGTAGGAGCTGGAGGGATGAAAGGACATTCATTACTAGGGGAAAGCAGAAAAAGTTAGAAGGGAATGTCGAGGACAGGTGGAGCGTGCGTATAGTGAGGCCCAGGTGTGGGAAAAACCACAAGTGGTCTTGAGAGTGATGAAAGAGGAAGATCATCATAAAATTGCAAAAGGTCTGGTCAGCCACCTCAGGAGCCGATGCCGTGCCTAGGAAGCAGCGTTACATCTGTGTTAGAAAATCAACTTGAGTAGAAGACTTAGCCAAGAGGGAAGGGACAGAAAGATCACTTAGGTCATGGTAACAGTTTAAATGATGTAATTGACTGGGGACAGATGAGATGAGTTTCTAAAGCAAAGGAAGCAGAAAGGATAGGCCTTGGTGACTGTCGCCTAGTGCATCAGGCTTAGAGAACTGGCAGGCAGCCACAGCAGTAAAGGAACTCAGAAATGGAGCTGGAAGGATGCCAGAATCCAGAGGGCTTACAGTGCAAATACGAGGACCTGAGTTCCATCCCTAGAGCCCACATAATAAGACAGGCAAAGACACTAGCTTGTAACTTCAGAGGCGAAAATGGGAGGATGCTTGGGGCTCACTGGCTAACCAGCCTAATGTAATCAGTGAGCCGCTAATCCCAGTGAGAGATGCTGTCTCTGAAAAACAAAGTAGATGGCTCCTGAGGAACAACACCTTAGGTTGATCTCTGGCCTCCACACTCATGCACGCACACCCACAGGAATTAAAAATATCAAAAATGATCACAGCAACCTGTTAGAAGAGAAGTCGTGTTTGAGATGTCTGAGTTCAAGGTCCTTGGGTCTTGCTGGGAAGGTGCTCTGCTGTGATCTTACCGTTAGGACTATGACCCACCTTAGCTATCCTGCCTCTGCATTGCATCATTCATGTTTGATGCTGTGTTTCCCATACCCTCTCTGTTGCAACTCTCTCTTAGCAGTCCACTATATTTTATTTCTCCAAAAATAAATTATAAACTTTTGATTGTTACAGAAAAACATTCCCCAAGACTTATTTTCTTCATCCTGTCCTTATCCAAGGTTTTAGA